TTGTCTTTCATAGATTCAAAGCCTAATAAAAAGAAATCACTTTTTTGTGGTGGTATAATTTCAACCAAGCTTTCATTTGTCTCAGTGGTATCCTTGGATTAAAATGGAGTACACCTGCTTGCTTTATCCTTATGAAGAATGTTTGCTCCACATTCTCCAGTATTTCTAGGACAATGAGGCAAATCGCAGTAGTCCACATTTTAGATACATGCTTAACTTGTTGATTAATTGGATCTCACATTAGATTACACTGCCGTCCTTTCTGTTTAGATTGTTTAATGAAATACTATAACTAGTGATGGAGTAATAGTATGGCATCTGTAAGATGGGAGTCCAAAGAATAGGTAGTGTTTCTTTTCATATCCAGGATTGGAGGATGTTTGAGGAATCAACATCACTTAATGGGGATAGATGGCTTAATAGCTCTCACTGAAAGTTCTTCACCTAATCTAACAGGACACTTTGGGTTAGGGTTGGGAGGTTATATATGGTATTTGTAAAGAATGTGGGTGTTTACAGTCAAGCAAATATGGTTGCAATCCCAGCTGTCTTCTTAATAGATATGTGACCTTGGGTCAGTAAACTTCCAGTGTTTCAGTTCCCTGTTCATAAATGGGGGTAAGTAATTGTGAGACTTCAGTAAAGGTGTGAGGATTAAGAACCTAGTTTGATGCTGACTCTTAATAGAAGCTTACTTAACAGTGGCTGCTATTTTGATTTCGCTTCCCTGGAGCATTTTCTACATAGAGTTCAGTGGTCTTGTGGAAAGGAGCACTCTAGTCCCCTAGCTTTGGGTCCTCATTGTAAATAAGTGGAATGACATTATCTTTTTTGAAATTTTTGTGTGTGAATCCAGTGAAGATTTACAGACAAGATCATCAGTTTTACCTTCAACAAATCAAACACTTTGTTTCATCTCAATGATTGTAGTTCTTTGCATGTAGCAACAGTTAGCCAATTCCTCAATGTGTTTCCTACTTCCATTATACCCTGCTTCCTATCCCTTCTCAACTTTGCCCTTAAGTAAATGTTGCCCCTTTTGATCTTAAATGGTTGACCATTCCATGGTGAACATAGCTTACTAGTGTTGTTATCCCCCCTGTATACCTGTCTACCACTTGACTGAAATTGGGCCCCAAAAATGAGTTCTGTTCCAGACAGAACTCATAGTCTCTTTCTGACCAGTCAGCCAGGTCTTTTTTTTTTTTAACTGTGAATTTTGTTCCATATTTTTCCTTCTCTATCCAGGACCTTCTCATGTCCCTTTCAGAGGAGTTGGTAGTGGTAGCCAGGCCCCAGCTAGTTGTGGTCTCAGGGTGAACTGACATTCTCCTGTAAGTACAGATAGACTCTGTCACTGCCCTGTATCTCTAAACATACTGAGAGTTGGGTTTCTGAACTGGGGAGATTAGGAAGGCTTGAAGTACTGGTGGCATCATTATGGTGGCTTCACACTGTTGATGCCACCTGCTAAGAGCCTGTCTGCAAGGTGTTTCCTTTGGCATACTTCTTCTTTCTTGCTGCTCACCTCAACCTGTGACACTTGCCACTCAGATTTATCTTGTTGTTGTTGTTGTTGTTTTACCCCCAGGCAATCATAGCGACCCTGTGTACGGTTGATAATTGTGTAGTTTTACTGAGATGTGATTAAATAAGGGAGTGTGAGTGGGATGGTGAGTTTTAGTGTTTTAACTGTGTAAGTTGAAGGTTTGTTGTTAAGTGCCATTGAGTTGGTTTTGACTAATAATGACCCTTTATAGGGTTTCTGGGGCTGTAAATCTTTTTGCAGCAGCAGAAAATCTCATCTTTCTCCCTCAGAGTGGCTAGTTGGCTCAAACCACGGACCTTGTGGTTTCCATTCCAGTGCTTATCCTGTGGAGCCACTGAACTCCCAGGTTAAGGGTGAGAAGTAATGTTTGAGTCCTGGTATAGCGCTGTAGGATAAACACTCGACTGCAAGGTTGGTTTGAACCATAAGGTCAGCGGTTCAAATGCTCCAGCTGCTCCTCTGAAACCCTATAAGGGTCACTGTGGGTCAGAACCAACTCGACAGCACTTAACAACAACAGTCTTTATGAAAGACACTCACATGCTTCTCCTAGAGAGTGGCTGATAGGGCTGAGCCACCAACCTTTCCATTGGCAACTGAGAGCTTCAACCATGGTGACACCTGGACTCCCCAGTTATATTTAGAACTTGTAAAATATAATTGGACCCATCAGCTCTGCAAATAAATTTTTTGTTCTTATTCCGTAAGGATTTGATTTTGGAGGCAACTACATACAGATCCCTGTTCTAATCCTTATTTTAGCACAAAGTCTAAATCCCTTGTTTTTCAGTTTACGTGCTGTATTTTCAGTTCTGTGCCAGACACTCGCTATGAGATCTGTGAGGACCCACGGGGAAACATTTCAGTAAGATGGTAGTTGTTGGGTGCCATCAAGCGGGTTCCAACTCCAACTGATAGTGACTCTGTGCACAAGCAGACAGCACGCTGCCTGGTCCTGCATCATTCTCACACTTGTCCTGTTCCTGTTTCAGTCAATTGCTGCTCCCACTGTGCAGTCGATCTCGTGGGGGGGGGTCATCCTCCTTTTTGCTAACTCGCCTTTTTATCAAACGTGACGTGCTCCAAGGGCTGGTCCCTGTATGTGTAACACGTCTAAAGTATGAGAAACAAAGTCTTGCCATCCTGGCTTCTAAGGCGCATTCTGGATATACTTCTTCCAACACAGATTTGCATGTTTTTTAGCAGCCCATGGTGTTTTCAGTATTCTTCAACACTGTAATTCAAATACATCGATTCTTCAATGGTTTCCTTTATTCACGGTTGGACTTTCATATGCATATGAGATTATTGAAAATACCAAAGTGACATCCCTTTAAAGAGATCTTTTGCAGCAAAAGAACTGGAAGGGACAACTATCATGATTCTCTAGTCCCAGTAATGTTTGTGTGACACATGGGAAATGCAAGGCCTGAACCAGCTGAATGGCAGGTCCCATGCCCATGAGTTATGGACAGAACCAGCATAGAACTCAAGTTCCTTAGTTGTTAGCATGTGATCCAGTATTTTGTATACCTAAAAGCAAAGAAGAAAGCCTTTTAGGCATGAGGTTTATTCTGAGCTACTCTGAGGATACAGGGCAGGTTATATTCCCTGATAGTCAGTTACAGTATGTCTGAGGTGTTTCTTTTCTTTCCACAGTTCTGTGTTTTATTGGCTTTTATGCTGTCCTTAAAGTACTTTTATTAGTAGTACATCCTTGATCCTTTTAGCATCTGTAGTTAATTGTTCTTTTCTGAAAAAATTCCCACTTTTATCTTCCACTCATAAGAATGATGAAACTTTGGGGATGGTAGAAACTTTGGGGATGGTAGAAAAGAAGAAGAATGGCAGTGTACAAGATCTTTTAAAAGTGTGCACATTGTATACTAGTATTGTAGTCAGCACGCCCAGAATAAATCATTCCCATTCCCTCCCTGCTCCCAGTTAAGTCTAAAATTGTATTCACTCTTTGCATAGGTTCAATCATCCTTTAATTCAGCAAATACAAGGAGCTTCAAAAAGTTTGTGGCTAAAAGTGGAATTAAAAGATAATAGAAAAAAAAAAGATAATAGAAGCCTTCTACAAACTTTTTGTTTGTTTTATAGTGAATTATGTGATAGTTTACATGGGAGAACATTAGTTTTACATTCATTCTATCGTATATAGTTTCATTGCCATGGGCCATGGTTACAGTCCCCTCCATGCTTCATCAACCAAAGGGTATGCAAGCAATCCCCACACCCCCCACCCCCGTCATCAACACACAACCCCTCTCCCTCTCCCTCTCTGGAGCTCAAATTTCCAACCGCTCCAGCTCTCCATGTCATCGTCTCTGCCTCCATCTCTGGCATCACCGCTTCTCTGGGTAGGGTCCCGCTCTCTGCTCTTCTCCCTTGATGGTCCTAGGGACCTCCGCTCCTAGACTGAAAAGTTAATCACTCCCCTCCTTGATAAAATGTCTACCTTTACATTTCCAACCCTCACAATCAGTCCTGATAACAATTATTCACTATTGTATCATAAGAGAACGCCTGCATTTCATTTCATCAGCCCTGCCTAGACAGATTAGATACTACTCACTGGAGATTCTACCTTCCTCCAGGCCCTCTGGATCTAGGTTCCCTCTTGAAAGCTTGTAAGCCAGTCACTTCTTGCCTTTGTAGCACACACACCCCCCACCCCCCACCCCCACACACCCATATTGAGTAGTCAAGTCCAAGTTGCCCATCCCTGCCTACTCTGTGTGTGGAAGGGGTAGGAATGATTCTTGCTGTAAAGATTTGTTTCCTCTTTTGAGCTACTGCATCCATAGGTGTAGGTCAAGTTCATCAAATTGTATCAGATTACGCTTTTTTTCCTCTTCTTTCTTCCGTTTGCGCTCCAATCATCCAGTCATTGAAGCCAGGTCAAGTGGGTATTATCTGCAAGTGTGGTTGTTCTTGTGCATATCCCCTCTCTTATCAGCTGGATGCTTCACTCTCTACTCTAGTCCTCTGTGGCTGTGTCACTGACTCTGGGCCCAAGAGTCCCCAGGTCTTGCCACACTGCTGGCTGACCAGGTCTCCACCCAGGTTCACAGGAGTCTCTTGAACATTGCCTTCTACAAACTTTTTGAAGTCCCCTCACATTATGTTTTAGTAACATAGTGGACCCTGTTCTGGACATTTGGGGATACAGAGAACAAAACAAAGTAGTTTAATTTGGAGTGGGGCAGAAAGACGAGCAAGTGACACACCCCCAGGGGGAGGTTGTTCTTTGTTATTTAAGGAACAGCATGAGTTCAGAGAGGGGGCCAGACTTTGGGTTTTCCTCTAGGTGTGATAAGAAACCATTGAAGGGTTTTGAATAGGGAGTGACATTGTTTAGTTAAGAGAAAGACTGTGGTCCTTATGCCTTATGCCTTGTAGGTTCTCTTGGTGCTCTATGCTATTAAATTTTTTCTTGTTATAGATTGTCTATGCTGAAAGACCTCTCACAGACAACCACAGATCACTGGCTTCTTATGGCTTGAAAGATGGTGACGTTGTGATTTTACGACAGAAGGAGAGTGCAGACCCTCGACCTCCAGTGCAGTTCCCAAGTAAGACCTCGTAATGCTCTAGCATCCACTCATATAAGCATACGGTCGCTCTGGGTGATACAGACGTTAAGCTCTGGGCTATAGTCATCCTGGCATTTGCACCCACATGTCATGTCATCTCATTAACTACTATGGGGGAGGTGATCCCTCTTTCCAGTTTTTTATCATTTACAGATGAAACTCAGATTTAAAATGATGTCTTTCCAGTTGCGTAACTAATAAATGAAAACAGAGAAGCTTAGTGCTTTCTCCACTACTCTGAACTGTATGAACATAAAGCAACTGAGCCACTGATTTCTGCTTCTCCCCAACCAGCAATGTTAATCATGCGCTAAGAAGCTGCTGTCTGTTGTATTTGCTCCATCTGTAATAGGTGTTTATGGTCTACACTCTGTGCGTTGACATTTCAGTCTCTGTGTCCCTGAAATAAAATTGTAGAAGTGCATGTGTACGTGTGTGTGCATCTGTATTTGAAGAGTGAGTTCTTAGCCTTCTCCAGATGCTTGTAGAGTCCATGATCCGTGAAACGTTGATATGTTCTGATGTGGAACTACTTGCTGAATTGTACTCGTTTTTCTCCACTCTCTGCCATATTCTGGTTGTTCTCTTTAAACAATATTTAGTCTCTAGGTCACCTGCTTTTAAAGTTGGTGCCTGGGTGATGGCAGATTTCAGCTTATAACACAATGCTTCCATTCAGCTTGAAATTGGAGCTGTAAGAGACCATCAAGCACAAGCACCATCTCGGCCTGGTCTGGATTACATTAGTGTCCCATAGGGCTGCTGCTCAACTTTAGAAAAAGTAGTGGGGAAATAGGCCAATAAATAGAAATTTGCCAAAGTAGCTAGCCAAATCTTCCATTGTTTAGAGAGGTTGTTAGTTCTGGTGCACTGTTTCTGTTGTTGTAGTTGTTGTTGTACTGTCCTGCTTGGACAAAAGAGCCAAGAATGGGGCGGAGCTTATTCTGTAAAGATAAATAAGTTTTTAAAAATTATTCTTAAGTGAATGGCCTCGCAAGATAATGTGTAGCGGGTAGAGGTAAAAATTTCTCAATCCACAACACTGATTATATTAGTTGACCCTAAAGATTACAGCCCAGGAAACCCTATTGTTGTTGTTCTTAAGTGCTGTTCAGTTGGTTCTGACCCATAGTAACCCTGTATAGGGTTTCCAAGGAGTGGCTGGTGAGCTTGAACCACAAACCTTGTCCAGCACATTCACCCACAGTACCACACCAGGACTCATAGGAAGCCCTAGGGCAGTTCTACTCTGGTCATCTTAGAGTCCTATGAGTTGGAATTGATGTGATGGCACACTGTGTAGATTAATTACCTCAGTGAGACCAACAGCTTTTTACTGTTGTTGTTGTTAAGTGCTGTCGAGTTGGTTCTGACTCATAGCAACCTGTATAGGGTTTCCAAGGAGTGTGGAGAGTTTGAACTGCCGACCTTGCGGTCCAGACCAACCTTGCGATCCAGTGCCACACCAGGACTCCAGCTTTTTACTAGTTGGTAGTTTATATGAGGAGGGTTCAAAAAGTTTGTGGAAAATGGAATTAAAAGATCGAAGAATTTTACCATAGACATTTTAAGCCCCCTGCATATATAAGCTTCAGCCAGAGTCTGAAGACAATGGGTAATTGAACCCATGTAAAGAGGTGAATAACTTGTACTTGAGTTCAAAAATCCCCTTTAGTGTGAGGTCCTGGGGCTTCAGGAGAGCTGCAAACTTGGTGTGTGTACCATCGGATGCATTTTGGAGTTGTGGAACTGTGGACTCACTCAGGCTTAGCTCCTCATTCTGACTATTTGTTTACTTTCCTCTTGCTCCCTTCCTTAAAAAAACTTTTTAAAATAACGGCTTTATGGAGATCTAAGGCTCATATCATATAGTTCATCCATTTGAAGGGTCCAGTCAATGAGTTTTCATGCATTCACAGAGTTGTGCACCTGTCACCAAGCAGTCGTAGAACACTTGTATCTCCCCAAAAAGAAGTGGCCCCAGCCCTGTTTTTGTTGTAAAGAGCTATCAAGTCGCTCTGACTCATTGTGGCCCAGTATAGGTTTTCCAAGGACCGGCTGGTGGATTTGAGCCACTGATCTTGCATTTAGCAGTCCAGTGCTTATCCTACAGTGACACACCAGGACTCCACCCCTAGCCCTTGTTGTTGTTAAATGCCATGGAATTGCTCTGACTCACAGCAACCCTGTGTAGCAGGGGTGGGAAACCATCTGGCCTACGGGTCATATTATTGTTACTAAGTGCCATCAAGTTGGTTCTGACTCACAGCAACCCTGTATAGAGTTTCCAAGGAGCAGCTGGTGAATTTGCTGTGCAGTTTTCACACTTAGCTTGTGGTTCAGTGCTTTATCCCACAGCACCACACCAGGACTCTACTGTGAAATCATTTGGGCTGACCCTGCCAAGGCAACCACAGTTCCAGCCATCACATTGTTGTTGTTTAAATGCTGTCAGGTCAGTTCTAGCTCATAGCGGCCCTGTGTAGGGTTTCCAAGGAGCAGCTGATGAGTTTGAACTGCTGACCTTGCAGTTCAAGCTGACCTTGTGGTTATCCTACAGTGCCACACCAGGACTGCAGAATGACATGTTAAGTGCCATCGAGTCAGTTCTGACTCATAGCAACCTTTATAGGGTTTCCAAGGAGTAGCTGGTGGATTTGAACTGTCAACCTTGTGGTTTCAGTCCAGTGCTGATACACATTATTAATGTTGTTAAGTGCTGTCAAGTCTGTTCTGACTCATAGTGACCCTGTGTAAGGTTTCCAAGGAGTAGCTGGTGAGTTTGAATTGCTGACCTTGCGTTTCAAACTGACCTTGCAGTCCAGTGCTTATCCTACAATGGCACATCTGGACTCCTGATCCACATTGTTGTTAAGTGCTGTCAGGTCAATTCCCACTCAGCGACCCTGTATAGGATTTTTGAGGATCAGCTGGTAAGTTTGAACTACTGACCTTGTGGTTTATAGTCCAGTGTTGATCCACATTGTTATTGTTGTTGTGAAGTGTTGCCGAGTCAGTTCTGACCCATAGCAACCCTGTATAGGGTTTTCAAGGAGCAGCTGGTGAGCTTGAACCGCCAACCTTGTAGTTCAAACTGGTGAGTTAATTAAACATTTGACCAAATAAAGCAGACTGATTTTGAAGTTGATAATTTTGTATGACCCGCGAATGATGTTATAAATTTTGGCAGAAAAAATGAGTCGTCCGTATCTTAGTCAATTACTAGTCTACTTTCTGTTTGCTTGTTCTGAACATTTTATATAAATCTGTGGTCCTCTGTATTGCCAGTTTGGGGGATTTATTACCTTATATAGCTTTTATATTGTGTTGTTAGCTGTTGGAGCCAGGTGGTGGCCTGCACACGAAGTGAACTGGCCAGAAATCAAACTGGGTACCACATGTAGGGCAGGCGAGATCCTACCATAGAACCACCATTATCTCTCTAATCAAATTCATTAAAGGACTAACACTTTTTTTATTTTGCTTATCATAGGAAGTATATGGCATTGTAGGATAAGCACTGGCCACAAGGTCGGTTTGAACCGCAAGGTCTGCTGTTCAAATTCACTAGCAGCTCTTCGGAAACCCTGCACAAGGTCACTATGAGTCTGAAATAACTCAATTGTAGTTATCAAAAACAACAAATGTATATGTAACAAAGCATTTACTTTTTTTTTTTGACATTTGCAATTTATTACATGTACAATACAATGAGCTCTGGTAACGTAGTGATTACGAATTGGGCTGCTAACCTCAGGGTCAGCAGTTCAAAACTACCAGCTGTTCCACAGGAGAAAGATGAGGCTTTCTGCTCCCGTAAAGATTTACAGCCTCAGAAACCCTGTACAGGGTCACTACGAGTCGGAACCAACTCTATGGCACATAACAACAACACATGTACAATTCCCTGGCATTAATTTCGTTCATCATGTTATTCAACCAACACCATTATCCATCTCCAAGTTTTTCCATCTCCCTAGCAGAAACTCAGTGACTTCTAAATAATAAAGTAATCAACCCCCCCTTCCCTTCTTCCCTTCTTCCCTCTTGTCTCTTTCCTGTAGTGCCTGAGAGTTGTAGTGTCTTACCCTGTTTTATCATTGGTCAGCACTGAGATCATTGCAAGTCCCTTTTTCCTTCTGTTTTCTCTCCTGTGAAGAATTAGCATTGATGCACAGGAGTCCTGGTAGTGTCATGGGTTACTGTTGGGCTGCTAACCACAAAGTCAGCAGTTTAAATCTACCAGCCACTCCACTGTGAAAAAGGGAGGTTTTGTGCTCTTAAAAAGATTTACAGCCTTGGAAACCCTATATATACAGGGTCCGTATGAGTCAGAACCGACTCCATGGCACACAGCATCAGCAGCAATGACACAGATGAAAGTGTGTATTCAAAGCACTTTTACAACTGCACTAAGCCAATATATTTAGCACAGACTTGCAGAGTTTACCATGTGTTGTTCACTTGATGCATATAGTATTCTTTATCTAAAAACATAGTTTCAAGAATCACATTTCAGATTTGTGAATTGGGTTTCAATTTAGCTTTAATATTTTAAAAACGTGGTGATGTGCCATGGAGTTGGTTGCGACTCATAGTGACCCTGTACAGGGTTTCCAAAGCTGTAAATTTTTACGGAAGCAGGAAGCCTCATCTTTCTCCATTGGAATGGCTGGTAGTTTCTAACTGCTGACCTTGAGGTTAGCAGCCTGACTCGTAACCACTATGCTACCAGAGCGCCTTAAAAACATAAATATTATGAAAACTTGATATATATTCCGCAATATTTTATAAGCCAAAAATCATGAGTTTGTTACTACCTAAGCTCAAGGCACTGTGGTTTAATGCGCCAGACTGCAAAGCTGTTTGAACTGCAAGGTAGGCAGTTCAAGCTCACCAGCTGCTCTTTGGAAACCCTACACAGGGTCGCTATGGGTCGGAACCAACTCGATGGCACTTAACAACAACAACAACAAGCACAAGGCCAGCAGTTCAAACCCACCAGCCACTCCTCAGAAACCCTATAGTGCTGCTATGAATCAGAACCAACTCAATGGCACTTAGCCACCACCACCATTGTTTACCTCATCTTTTTCTTATTCTGTATTGGTTCATTCTTACAGTCTCCAATCTTAGTGTTTTAAGCAGAAGAAAGGTAGGTAGTAAGGAAGAGCAGGGGAAAGGCCTCAGAAGTCTGCAATGATCATTACTACCATTGAGAACATTATGTGAGCAAATGTTCTGTTCCCTTTGAATGTTTGCTTTTATGGAGTCAGTTGGAGTAAACTTTGAATTGATTTTCCCCAACAGACTTACCCCGAATAGACTTCAGCAGTATAGCTGTACCTGGTACATCGAGCACCCGACAGCGCCAGCCACCGGCAGCACAGCAGCCCCACTCATCTCCTGGAGAAATAGCTTCGTCTCCTCAGGGCTTGGACAATCCAGCCTTGCTCCGAGACATGCTGCTAGCCAACCCCCATGAGCTGTCCTTGCTGAAGGAACGCAATCCACCCCTGGCAGACGCTCTGCTCAGTGGAGATCTTGGTAAGCTGATAAGGTTGCAGAACGTGGAGCTGAGCTGTGGTGAAATAGTTGTGTCACACAAACGTGGAGAAACCCCTGCAACTGGTGCGTTCAACCACTGTGCCACACGATCTGTTGGACAATTCATCTGTGAGAGCTAAATTAATGCTCATGTCAAAGGCTGGAGTCGTGGTGTGACACTATAGGATCAGCACTGGGCTGCTAGCCGTAAAAGGTCGATGGTTCAAATCCACTAGCCCCTCCTCAGAAAACCCTATACAGGGTCACTGTGAGTCCCAACTGACTCCATGGCCCCTACCAACGGCATCAACAGAATTTTAGAATTGCTTAGAGCCTGGAACCCATCTAGTCTAGCCCTGGCAGTTCACATTCTTTTCTGATTGTTGCTAGCAGCACACAGGCCAGGGAGTGATTGTTTTGGCCACTTCAGTTAGAGCCTCAGTTGAAGACATCACCAAAAGCCAATTGTTACCAGTTCACATCTCTTAGTTATGGGAAATAGGTCCAGTACCCTCAACCTGGATGGCAAAATAGGACTCTCTATCCGCCTCCAAAGGAGCCGCTGTGGTGTGGTGGATTGCCTGTTGGACTGCAGCTTCACCAGCCACTCTGCGGGAGAAAGGGGAAGCTCTCTGCTCCTCTAAAGATGGGCAGCCTCGGAAACCCTGTGCAGGGGTCACTGCGAATCAGAATTGACTCGATAGCACACAGCCACCACCACTATCATCCTCATCCAACCCAGGGTTTGGTAGTATTACCAAAAACTGGTCAGCAGTCTTTATGGGACTGTTTTTGAGCTATTCTTTTATTCAGCAGAACACTTATTTTTACGTTATATTTATGAATAAAGTTTTTTCTGTACATTTCTCCCATTCTGCTTTGTGTTTTGGGGGCTCTACTGGTTAAAATTTAAAGTATAACAAACACTTAAAAATTTATTATTGAATTAAATTTAAAGTTTCTATGGACAGAGAAGTGCCCAGATTTTAAGTATGCAATTCAGTAGCTTTTGAAGAATGTATATACACTCATGTCACCACCACCCCAATCAGGACAGAAAATCTTTCTATTACTTTAGAAAGTTCCATTGTGTTCTATTTAGTCTGTTCCCCAATCCCATGTAGACCACCACTATTCTAATAATCATAGATTTGTTTTGCCAGTTTTTGAACTTCATGTTAATGGGATAATACAGTATGTAGTCTTGTGTCACGTTTCTTTTAGCCAACATAATTGTTCTCTTAAATACGTCCATGCGCATTAGTGTGTATTAGTACTTCATATGACCATTATCATGGGCTCTTTCATTTCGAATGTCAGCATATCTAGTTGCCAAAAATATGATAGCACACTTAAGTTTACACATTTAACTGTACCTTAACTTAAGAAATAGCAAAATCAAGATTCTTACTGTAACACATCTCTTATATATAGCAAGTGCTGTTTTCTTCTCACTAGTTTTCCTGCTTATTCTTAATCAGAACACAAAATATAGGTAGGCCAACAGTCATTAGCCTTTGACTTACCTGGTCTAAGGCAGAGTGCATTATAAAGGAAATGAAACTAGAGGTGTAAAGGGCATTATTGTCATGCTCTCTTGTCTTTAGGTAATAGGAGAGTAGGGTAATGGCAAGGGGAGCAATGGGAGACGTTGATTGGCCACATAGAACAAGTAGTTCCCCCTTGATTTAACTGAGAAGTCACTCTCTCTGAGTAGAAGCAATAGGGTATTTTTTTTCTTTACACTACGTTTAAGTGAAAGCATAGATTTGCTTCAGAAAATAAAAACTAAGTGTGATTGCTCACTCCAAATATTTTTAGGAACTCTTTTTCCATCTCTCCTAGTTGCTTTGTGAAAAAACATTTGGTGTATGAAAGAGCTAATAAAGGATGAAGCTATGAGGGAATTTCGTGAAGTTCGTGGAGAAATTCTTTTATCTTTTCATTCTATTTTCAAGCTTCCATGTAGAACATTATTTAGGTGCCATCCTCCCCCATCTTACCACAGCCCCCACCTTTATTTTTGCAGAGAAATTTTCTAGGGTCCTGGTGGAGCAGCAGCAGGACCGAGCCCGGAGAGAGCAAGAAAGGATCCGTCTCTTTTCTGCTGACCCTTTTGATCTCGAAGCTCAGGCCAAGATAGAGGAAGATATAAGGTAAGGATGCCTTCACCTGAACAACAAAACTCAGAGTCCAAGTTTCCCACACCACAGCTGATCTTGCATTGTGGGTAATCGACTTTGAGGTAGCATCCCTACTTCACAGTCGAGATAGAAACTTCAATCTTTTAGGTTATTCTCTTCCATTTCGTTCACATTTCAATGAAAAACTATGAAAGTATAGGTACTTAACTTAATCACATCTCCCAAAATTTTATTAAGGACTTCTCATTACAGCAGCTCCACGTAGAACAGAAGCCTCCCATCTGGACCTCTCAACAGTCTGTGTAGGATGATTTGATTCTCTTTCCCACAGAAGTACATTGTGTTGTATCTTGATTAAGTGTAGGGCTTGATCATGGTTGAGAAACAGTTCTGTATGGAAGGTACCTTAAGGCTGTTTTCCTTCTGCAGTTCTTGTACTGACCCCAGAGTATAAACTGACTGCTGTGTGGTCCTAGCTCCACTTTCTATAACACAGTAGTGCTCACTTGGGCTGCATTAAAATCACTTACGAAGCTTTTTACAGGTTAAAATCACTAAGATACTTGGCTCTACCTCCAAATCTGATGAATCAGTCTTCAGGCTTGGAACTTAAGCAAATAAAATGACACTAATGCCAGCCTTGGTTGGTTTACAAGTCACAAACAAGACATTGCGTCAGTCCCTTTGAATACAAGATCAACTCCACCCACCCCACCCCCAAATTCAATTTTTGTTGTTCATTGTAAGGTCTTAGAGAGAACGTAACTGTGATGAGACAACTTTTATCCTTCTTTGAGGGACCTGTCATCAACTCAGTAAAACCTAACTTGGACATTTTATTACAATATCAACTTAGGAAGTTGAATAATGGCTTTATGTCATATTTTTCTGACTACATTTGTAATCAAAGAAATGTAAATTACATTTCAGAATCAGTTGACAGCCCTCAGCCATTCACTTGTGTTCCTATTGATTGTGTCAGGTACGTCTTTGAGAAGCTAGTTAAATCTTCTCTCTGAAACAGGAATCCATTTGTGTTTTCTGAAGTGGACCACATTACAGTTAGAAGGGAGAACAGACATGCTGTTTAAGAATAGTTTTGTTCAGTCCAGGAAGCACTGGGGGTTGTGTTGTGGAGGGTCATAGCCAAACCATGATGTTGAGCTCCTGGAGGAACAGAAGTAAAAGGAAACCTATCCAGAGGGCTCATGTTTCTTAGGACTAGAGGAAATGCATCCATTCTTTGAAAAGAGTAAGCGCTGTGTCTCTGAAGAAACGCTACCTACAGAGCCTTGAGGAGTCCAAATAGCTGGTGGTATTTCAGAGGATTTTTGCTGAAGTTGATCTTGGTTGGAGTCAATGAAAGATCAGGGCTGCACAACTGAATTTAGGTTCTTTCTAAATTTCACCTTGTGGCAGTGGAGGAAAGCTGTACAATTATATCAAATGTCCATCTCAGTTTTATTTGGTACTCCACACCAGTGATTACGTAGGGTGTGGACACTTGAGGTACCGTAGCTTGCATATTCACCAGACTAGTCAGTAAGTGTGACTTTAACTTTCTGAAAAGTATAATGTTTTATTACAGAAAGGCTGAGAAAGCTGTCCATTTAAGTGAACTAGAATATTAGTACCAAAAGGTAGAGCAGGAATTGTAAACTTTTTCCATAAAGGGCCAGACAGGAAATAATTTGTTTGCCATGCAGGCCCTTTGATCTCTGGTGCTAGTGTCAGTTCTCTTGTTTGGCATAAAAGCAGCCGTAGACAAGTGAATGTAGACCAACAGGTGAAGGCCTGTATTTCCCCTGGTTTACAGTGTCATTTACCCCATGCCCTCTTACTGTCTCCTATTTTAGTCCACTTGCCTAGATCCTACATTAGTTTTCCATGTTCCATATATTTGGATATTGGATAGTTAAAGAAGATTGAGAACGTAGCCCGGAAATATCAGAGTAAGCTGGAACTCCCTTTTCAATGCGTCTGGTCATGTATGAGTTGGAATATGTACAATTTTAAAAGAAATAATTTGATGGGTCAAGTGAACTGTGATATACGAGTGTGTGTGTGGTCATGTACGGTGCATTTTGTAAGCCTCTGTTCCTATGTTAGATTGTGTTCCAGGGTGCTTTATACATCTCAGCAACCTGATGATAGGAATTATTCTTATTTTACAGAGTAGAAATCCCAGTCTTAGAAATTAGGCAGCAGGTGCATTTGACTTTCAGAACTCTCATAATAGTTATCATAAAGGCAATTAACATTTAGTAACGGCTGACTGTGTGCTCAACGATCTTCTAAGAGCTCTGCAGGTGTTATCTTAATGTCTTCACAGAATCCCTATATGGGAAGAGTACAGTGAAGACAGATTAAATAATTTGCCAAAGGCACAAAGGCAAGAAGTGGTGGAGTCAGAATTCAAGTGTAACTTTGGTGCCCACATTCCTTACCTGTACAAAAGAACTACCCTCACACCATGGCTTTATTCAAAACAGGTGGTTTCATTAGATGCAAGCAGTTGACGTATCTGTGTATTATTTTTCCTGCACTGGACAGAGGAAATATACTCAGATGCTCAGTAGATCAGTGAAAACTGGAGCCTACTTACGTTTGAAATACCAGTGGCTTAACTTCCAGCATCTCAGGAACACACAGGCTTCCATAGTATCTCAAATATCCACAGAGTCACTCATGGTGGACAGCTTTCAGCAGAACTTCCAGACTGAGACAGACTAGGAAGAAAGGTCTAGCAATCTATTTCTGAAAAAAAAAAAGCCAGTGATGACCTTACGGAAACAACAACAATGAACTCATACATACCTACTATTGTGAGGATGGCACAGGGCTGGCAACATTTCATTCTGTTAAAATGTGGGGTCACTGTGAGTTGGCAATGACTCAACAGTACCTAACCACAACAGAAATTGGAGAATTCATGAAATTTCAACATCCTGTGGAGTAAAAAGGGATGTAATCCTGGCTCCTCAGAAATGTTCTTGTTTTTGAGCTTGTATAGAGACCATAATTATTTTACATGAGGGCAGTTTTTATGCCTTTATATTTTCCGCCAACTGTTTTATCTTGCTCTGCCTTCCTACTAAGTCACTTGTTCCAGGATAGAGCACCGATTTCCATTACTGTGACTCAGCTGCTCTATTAGGGCAAAAGATTTATGTATATAAATCGGTGTTTTAGCGCTTTGACTTTGAAACAGCGTTTTCTTCGTGGAAACTGCTTTGAGTACTTGATTTTGGTTTGTTACAGGCAACAGAATATTGAGGAAAACATGACAATCGCGATGGAAGAGGCTCCGGAAAGTTTTGGCCAAGTAGTGATGCTTTATATTAACTGCAAAGTGAACGGACATCCTGTGAAAGCCTTTGTTGACTCAGGTGAGGGCTCTATCTCCCCATCCGAAATTCTGTCCTGACACAGGAAAGGGGGGAGGACTTGTGTCCGTTCAGGATGACAGTGGTCCTCCGGACTACAAACAAGCCTGGAAGCAATTGTTTGACTTGCCAGTCTTTTCTGGTTTGTAATAGGTTTATATCTTTGACCATTTTGTAACCACTTTTGTATTTTGTGGTATCTCCTTTATCTTCTTTCTTCCCCTTATTTGGCACCATGAATTTTTAGGACATCTCTATAAGAAATTGGGAGTTCATCGATTAAAGATAAGAACTATGAGGAGTTGCTGTGTAGAGTGTAATAGTTCTGTTTGGAAGGAAGTGGGTCTTGACCTGGGCCTTAAAGCATCAGTGAGATTCTGACACAGTGAGAGCAGAGGACGGTGGTCTCTATAGGCAGGGCATAGCTATGTTAGAGTGAGTAAGGGCCAAAGAAGACACATTTCTTCTGCTAAAGTGGAGGATGCCAACTAGTCAGAATGTACATCTGGAAATAGCTGAGCCAGGGTGAGGTAGAATCTGAAGCTGTGGCCATGTGATTTGAAACTAATCTTAGAAAGAGTGGGAGCCATTGAGGATATTTGAGCAGATGAATAAGTGACCAGAAGAAAGTGATATTTTAGAAAGAGTAAAGGCAGAGACCAATCTGGAGATTTCTGTACTGCTAGAATTCAAAGCTGTTTCCTTACTTTAAATTACGTATCCACAGGCTAATTTGAAAGCCAGAGAAATAGTGTCCTCAAGTTAGAAGTAAAAGTAATGATAGAAGGTTTCGAGATGCTCAGTAAAAACTGCTCAGGGTGAAGTGCTTAATTTAGCATCTCCATCTGTAGACATAGTGGTCATTGTTAGAGCTTTTGGGAGGGCCTTTCCAGGTAGTTTTGCTTTCTATTGGTTAAGTTAAAAAATATTATGTAAATATTTTACTGTAACAAAATATGATTTCCCTCAATATTGAATTTCCATACTGTGTTTGAGATTCCAGTATGGAACTGAACATAGTATTAATTTGGGAAAGGAAACCAGTTAGGTAGAATTCAAAAGCTGTGTGGTATGCATGCTTTTCTGCTCTTGTTTCTTGGTGCTGTATTGTTTTATCACAAAGTGGGATTTCGTTTTTATTATCTGATGTCTCCCTGCCCCCACAGGTGCCCAGATGACGATTATGAGCCAGGCTTGTGCAGAACGGTGTAATATAATGAGACTGGTTGACCGTCGGTGGGCAGGGATTGCCAAGGGAGTGGGCACCCAGAAGATTATTGGAAGGGTACATCTAGGTGAGTGGAGACACTGGGGGTTAGCAACGGTTTTTGGTAAATAGTAGAGTTTATTTTATTTATTCATTCTTTTATTATATTTTAGTTGCAAACATCTGGTACAACAAACGAAATTTCTAGAAATTTAAAATCCTATGTTCTGTAAAAGGTTGGCTTGAATCACAGGTTGACAGATTCACCAGACTCAGAGGAACTTAACAATAGCAACGTTCGATACTATCTGACTAAGTTGGGAATCATTTTCCTTTACAGCTTTGAAGCATTGTCCCATGACTTTTTCACTTCCAATGTTGCTGTGGATGATTCTTTATCCTTAATATAAAACATTTCTTTTCCATTGCTGATGCTTGAATGGTCTTCTCTCTGGTCCCAGTATTTTGAATTTTCATAATGATTCACTTGATACAGATCTCTTGGTTACATGGGAAGACTCATGCCCATCAGTTCTGGAGACCGTCCTTGAATTGTTCTGATAATGACTTGCTCTCCACTAGCCTGTCTTTTATTTAAATAGGATGATACCATATTCTAGACTTGCCCTTTAGTTTTCATCTTTTTTACTTTCTGTAATTTTGTTCTGTTTGGTGCTTCCTGTTCGTGTTTTATATTTATTTGCCTTTCATTTTGAGTGTTCATCTAAAATTTCTAATGTCTTTGGCATCTGCTCCTATTGAAGAGTGAGACACCAAAAGGTTCTTTAGACGATTTGTTGGGTGGGCAGCCATGTTGTGGTCTTCACTGTGGGGAGTTGGGAGAGAGAAAAAGACTCGTGTGTCAGTAAACTTTCACTGATTCTCCCTGGTTTTCGTTCAGGAGTTTGTTGTATCTGTCTGCCTCCATACCCACTTCCAGTCTCTGTTTACCCTCTTCAGAAAGTAAAGCTCCAGTCTGTGTCTGAGGTGTGAGTAGAAGGGTTACTCACCTTGCCCAGCAGCGTGCAAGAGGGAAACACCAAGGTCTTTGTCCACATACATTTCCTACCAGCCCACCTCTTAAGAGTTCTGTGACTTTATTTGGGCTACTTCTCAATTTTCACCACTATCACTTGCTTTTTAGTTCCAAAATTTTGTTTCTGATTTCTATTATTTTTGTCCTTAAGGATTTTTGCCTTAAAATAAAATGTATCTCATCATTTATTTGGCATAAATGGAAATGGATATATGTGTTCAATCTTTCATCTCCAGTTATCTTTTT